TTTACGAGTGTTATAAATTAATTAACACCTCCAGGTAAATTTCTAAGAAATTAATTATTTAAAAAAAAAACTATTGTTAACTGTAACGCCGTCGGGTCCGCGGTCGTGGAGGTATTAATCAGAAAACGTAAATTATGCAGACAATCATTACTCCAGTCTAAAAAGCTTGGTGCAACATGTAAATAAACATAAACAGTTATTGCCGTTACATGCATGAAGGTGAAAGCTAGCACAACGGTTGCAGATTTCAGACAAAATTTAAAATTCCTATAAGTACGAGACTAGTTACATAGTAGGCCTTCGACAAACCTTCAAAATATGATATGAGAATAAATATTTTTATCTTTAATTTGTGCAGTTGTAATACTATTTTTTTGTTTGAGCTAAGTTGGGAAGAGACATTCCTTCCAACTTACATGTAAAATACCTGAATTATTAAGCTCCATTACAAAAAACATTTTTTATAATACAATGTCATATTATTTATAATATTTAAGAATTATCATTTATTTTTGTTCCCAACGTTTCGTATGCTTTACATAGACATTTCCACGGTAGACATGTAGGACATAAAAATAAAATCGCGAAATCATCCGAAAGAACATTTCTTTTAAATGACAAATATTCGTGTAAATCCTAAGACAGTATTATTTTATGCTAGTTTAGCTAATTGGGTTATGGGTAGGAACGAAGTTAGCGACCGTCATTTTATAAACAAACGTACATGTATTTGTAATACTTACACAAATCATCGCGACACGCTAAAAGACTGTTCACATAACTTCCTTATATGCTTCGATCAACAAGTATTGTTGATCGAATCTTATATGTATTCTATTTCATTGCGCAATTCTTTTATTTAGCTACAGCAATGATTTTTTAACTGAAGTGACCGTGATATAATGTATTATGTTTATAGACTATCGTTTTGTATATTACATAGCATTTGTCTGAAAAGTCTAAATGAAACAACATGTGAAATAAAAATATTATAAGTAGGCAAAGACAGTTCAATACCTTTTCCCCCTCTGTTTGTCGATCGATTTTTTTTGGTAAGTAGCTATTGACGAGCTTTAAAGTTATACATGAAAAAAATTGGCGATTTTTTTGGGTTATTAATAAAATATTTTAAGAACCAGTTTCTAGCTTTTAAACCAACGTATCTTACAGCAATCTTTATTAATATTATATCGTAATCATAAAAAAAATATCGAAACTATTCATTAGTACAAGAATTTTAAAGAATTGATTTAGTACTAGAATATAATATAATAGTTGTAATAGCAAGATTACATCTTGATGTTCTTTTTTGAACTTTAATTGAACATAATGATTTCTTATTAGGTACATATAAAGAATCGAGCGCAAAAACAAACTACCTAATTGCTTAGTGTTCTAAAAAAAACTTAGTAGATCATTGATCGTTCATCTTTTCCTTCTTATGTGACGTATTGGGTTTCCCTCCGCGTAATATTTTTTGAACATAACCTGTCATATGTCAATATTATATTTAAATTGTTCGATCAGAATGTTTGTCTAATTTTTTAAAAGTAAATTACGAAACGCTTATATTATCTGTTATATTGCGATTAATTCATACAGGTTTTTCACATTAAATTAACAAAGATAACATCCATTTTTTTTAATAACTGGAAACTCCCGCGTTAAGACAGAAGTTTTATGGAAAATAATTAAGTAGACGTGTTTGGTGCATTTTGTCATAGGAAAATAAGGATCCTAGCGGAAAAAATGGACTTAAACAACAAATCGTTTGTAATGCAACGAAAATAAAAATATCTTTTCGTCTGCATTAAATTAAAAAAAAACTATTTGCTTACAAAACAAATATCTGACCAATAAGAAGTTCACGCTCGTTATAGCCTTGACCGGATATTGTGTGTTTGTAATGTCAAAATAGAAGCTTTTTAATAAATGCGTACGAAAGAGTATACGGTACTTTTAAGAAAAATACAATTTTTAAAATTTTTATTTGTCTGCCTGTTTGTTCCGTCTTATTTCCGAAACTGTTGGATCGATTTTGACGGAACTTTCACTGGCAGATAGCCGATGTTATAAGGAGTAACTTAGGATAGTTTTATTTTAGAAAAAAGGTAAATTAGTGTTCCACGCAAAAAATTACAACTCATGAAATTGTGAACAAAATCCGCGTACCTAGGGAACTAACCGCGCCAAGCGTGGGTAAGTCCCTTGTGTATATTAAAATGCATCATACATTATTATAAATCGCATTCTATATACGAGTATAAGCATGTTAAAAAACTTGTATTTTATGTATCATGTATATTTGTGTTATTAATATAGATGGAATGTCATGTCACGTGCAATTTGCAAATAATGGTTATGAACTGAAATATAAAAATAAAACTAAAAACTTATCTACATACACATTATGCAGTGTTGGAAGCATTCATAAAACTAATTATTATTCTTACGAAAATCCAGATCACAGTCTTAGATTCGATTATTTTAATAAATTGAATATTTAACTTGATAGACGCGATATAGGCATAGCTTCTTAATCATTTAATTATAGTGTAATTATGTGAATATTTTTTTTATCGATGTATGAGGAAAATAAGCGAACATCACTATTGGAAATATTGTACCAACACGAAAGTAATAACATTGAAATACTGTCACATTCAATTTCAAAATACTGAGGTCTTTCTTTAAATGAAATATAAATAACATTGACTTACAAAGCATTTTTAAGCAGTCCAATTTTTAAAATCACTTATTCACTGGTCACTATATCACAATTACGAATATCTGCACGTTTAATGCATGTTTTTATTGTTTTGCGAAATGAAAATAACAAAAACATAACCTATCGCCTCCACGATCTTCATGTGTCATTTAAATACTGAATTAAATTGAAGGTTGAATGAATTAACAGCTGATAGGTGTGGCATTTGCAAAAATTGTTTTTCTACTATTGTAAAAATTATAAATTATAGTTTATAATTTATTTTAAAACGATATGTTCTTACATACATATGCATAAAACAAATAGATGCCGTTTAACAAAATTACTAAGGTAAGCGTGACATTGACGAAGTAAAAATGCTCAACTGAAAGTTATTAAAAATAAGAGAATTGATTGAAGGTAAGCGATATTGATGTAAGGTTTATATTTTTTTATAGTAACAAAATATTCTACGATAATGTTTTTAATTCAATTCAATAGCTTACAATTTGTGTCAAATAAGCTTTGATAAAAAGTTTTTTTTGAACGATAGGCTTGCGCTTGACTACAATCAGCGCTAGGAAGCACTGATGAGGTCTAGGTTGGAGCGCGCATGCCTAGAAAAATGCCTGTTCACTCTAGCCTTGAAGGTACTTGGATTGTAGGTGGCAGGAAACACGGATGCTGGAAGGGTGTTCCACTCCTTAGCGGTTCGATTCAAAAACGTAGAACTGAAGCGTTTCGTGTGAGTTGGTTGAATTTCTGCCACATAAAGCTGCCAGCGCTCACGACTTCTCGCAGTTCTGTGGTAAAACGGTGAAGGGGGCACAAGGTTGTGAAGTCCCTGCGCGCACTCCCCAAAGTATATCCAATAGAAGATCGATAGACAGGCGACATGATAAAAAGTAATGTTGAATATTTATTTTTAATGGTAACAAAATATCCTACGAAAATATTTAATAATATTCAATTCAACGGTTTGCTGGCAATTTATGTCAAGTATGTTTTGATAAAAAGTAATTTTATCACCCTAAGGTACAGTTGTTACATGTTAATAATGCAACCGTTAAACTAACTTCAAATGAAATTGGTTAAAAAAAGTGATGTGAAACATCTATTGGTATTGGCACGCCTTGCCGGTAAAATCGACTCGTTTTATTACGGCAAACGGTGGCGTGATGGTTATAGACGTTCATGCGATCATGCCTGTTTTACACCATCGCTCTTGACTCCCTTGTGTGTGCGCGCTCGTATAATATACTCACTCCATTGTAAAACAGTCTCTATTAAAACACTTACATATTTTCTATTCTATATAGATGTTTCACATCTGCGCGCCGTCCCGTGACGGCCATTTTTTTATTCTAATGGCCTATGGTATTACTGTCTAGTAAGGAAGGAATGTGAATGTGAATTGTGGCTCTAAAATGTTTATTATAGACATTTATAATATTTTTCTTAAGAAAAATAAGAAACTAATGATAAGGGATAAAAATAAACTATTCGATAAATGTTTAGATCATTGTTTGTTTTAATTATGAAATGTTATTCTTCGCTAGATCGAATTAAATATATCTTAGTTTTTAGCCATTACACATACAGATAAAGATCATGGGTTCAAGTTTCGGGTCGTAGTTGTTTCTGTACATGCACTAATACAACGCAGATAAAAAAAAAGAAAAATATTTAAAGTTTTGTAAAGGAATAAAGTTAATTCATATTCTATATTGAATTATCTTAACTATAATTTCGGATCTATAACAGAATTATTTATAATGCAATTGCAATAGACATAACCTCCTATTAGATGAAGTGTAAATTCCAATGTCATTTTTCTTCATTTTCTTTATGCAAAAATACAGGCTATCGTATTGGTAGTATTAACTACTACAGTGTAATATTTACTCAGATATGGCAACATATTTGTGCACTGTCAAAAGTCCTCAGAATATCATACCAATGTCAATTCAATTGAAAATTTTAAAATGAGCGCGATTTATGTAATCGTATTTTGGTGATTTCCAAGCGTGTTATAATTGTGTAACATCGTTTACACTTTTAATATTATATTAATATTTATATGTTTAAAAATCTAAAAGAACTGTGAAAATATTAATGCACGAAATTTTTTCCATAACAATCTTAATATATTTAAAAGATTTTTTTTTTAACTGAACCCAAAGTAGTTAACTAGTTTTTGTTGACTTGTTGTCTGTATTGATATTATAATCAGTCTCTTTTACCGCTAAACTAAGTTTACTCACCACTGTGGAGTTAGAAAGCTTACGGAAAAATGACTGACTGTGAAAAAGATTTGTTTCGGGATACTTGGATGCGATATTTAGGTAAAGAATTATTATAATACATTCAATCTATATTTTGGTCATAAAAAGACCGATGAATAATTTAAATTCATTTTTAATGTTATTATGTAACAATATGTGAGAAGAATTTTGTTTTTAGTTACAAAATACTTGCTATGTTTAACTTTATAATTTTGTAGTAAGAAAATGTGATTTTATTTTAATCTAAATAAATAAGTCCATGTTTTAGTGAAAACGATTTTTCATATTCTATTAAATATTTTTTTTAAGTATAGTTTTTTTTTAATTTATAATGTAATAATTACTTCATAAATTGTGGCTAAATATTTATTCAAATAAAAATAAATGAAGATAACCAACATCAATTAACATTCACTACTACTAGACAGATGTTACATAGTATATTGTACATATTTCTAATAATTACAATCCATAAATCCTTAAAATATGAAACTGGGTCCATAATAGTTATAAAAGAAAATGAATATCTTACCCTTCATCCTTTATAATGTAGTGATCACTAAAGAGATCCATTTTCAGGTTATGCTAATGAAGTGGGAGAGTCCTTCCGTTCACTGGTGCCTGTTAAGGTGGTCCGTGCAAGCTATGCCCTAGCGTTCGCTTATGTCCTGGCTGACACTGGAGACAAGAGTTGGAAAATGATTAGAGTATATAAAATATATTTTTTGTTTACATGTAATATTACTATAGTGTTATTTTTGTAAATATGTTATAATATTGAGTCTATATTATGCAATATATATTATGCAATATATATATTATTATGCAATATTATTCAAATTAAATCTTTTTTAGCTAAAATTACTTATATGTATTTTTCTATGTATACTTAGTTTGTGTTATGATATTATACCACACTATTAAGTAAATTGTAAGAATATTATTCAATTTAATTTTGTGTTTTGAATTTTTCAGAAAGATGGCACACCAAAGAAGGTTCTATTAGAGACTGGAGATGCATTGTTGTGGCAAACACTGGCATCTGTGGCAATACCAGGCTTTGTAATAAATAGGTATGTTAGAACTTCAAAATGTATTTGACCAATCATAAGTTAATTTTTAATTAGTATTTAAAATAAAATAATATTATATTATGTTTTGTTTTAATATACTATTAACTTAAAATTTATGGGTATTTAGATGGCTTTACTTAAAAATGCGCCTGAATAAAATTTCATAGCAATAGCATTAGTAACAAGTTTTGCTCAGTATATAAACTACATAATATTTGTTATTGTTTATTATGTTTTCTTTTACCGTTACGATTTTTAAGTTAACGGCGGATTTTTAAGTTAATAGGCGGAACGCAAAGTGGAGCAAGCATTCATTTATTTTTACTTCATTTAAAAAAAAGTTAAATTTAACCCCTAATGAATATGTTCTTTCAGGTGATAATTAACAGAGTGCTTATATTTTTGGTTCTGTAGCCAAAAAGTAAAAAGAAACCTTTATACATTCTTCATATCAGTCCGTCTGCCCATTCGTCTGTCAGTCTAATCATTTCATTCTGGGACTGTGTTTGACTTTAATTCATTTTTTCTTTCAATTTATATTTTTTTCTTTTAACTAATAAGTAAATGTATTTATTTTACAGAATATGTGTTTATTCTCAGAACTATCTGCAAAAGAATGTGCCAAAACTACCTCCGACCCCTAGGAAATTGTTAACTGTAGGAATTGGTTTAGTATCCATACCTTTCATTGTTCATCCCATAGACGATTCTGTCACATGTTTAATGAACTATACATATAGGAAATGGGTTCATGCGTAATACTTATACTAAATGAATAAGATGTGCAGACCCTAAAGAAAATAGTGATTGAAGTTTAAAATGGTATTATAATTAGCTGCTTATAATATCATTTCTTCCTTTATGCCCAAAGTATATGCAATAAGGAGCTAAATAAATTTATTAGGCCTAGTAAAGAACTATAAAATCTCATCAGTAGAATTGAAAATATATATCAATATTTCATTCAAAATAAAAGACAGACAAGAAAACAAGAAAATTTAGACAGACAAGAAAAATTATAGAAAGAATGTTTTTCTAAAGTTGACTATTTGCTTAATTTAATATTCTTTACGTCCCGTCTTTCTTATTCCCTTAGTCTGATTAGTAAATAGTAATACAAAATAATCGTGCCATATTAATTTTTTTCCCGCCAATATCAATGTCACATTGACATTTCATTAAATAGTTTGTATATCAGAATATTTTTTCTGTATGCATTAAATAATCTTTTGTTTATTTATTTTGCATAATGTTGCGTCAAGGTAAAAAATAAATAAAACAAATATACTGTTTTAATAACTTAGAATCAACATTTAATGATCTGAAATATATCGATGAAATAGGTTTAATAATAAATCATTATTAATATATATTATATATAACTAAATATTAAAAATCCCGCAAAACGCACAAAAGAATAATAAATGGTAATGTTATACTACACTAGTATAATATAAATAATATATTTTAGTTTAAATGGAGAAGTTTCCAATTTTTTTATACCTATATAGATTATAAAAATGTAAGTGAAATATAACAAAAATATGAAAGAATTTATTAAAATATCTCAGCAAATATAAAAATTGTGAAACTTTAAAGTTGCGCTTGTAAGAATAATTTCGTAACGTCACACGACCTGAATGACTGAAATTTATTTTCCTTTCTCAGTCATTTATCGATATCCATTGCGTTAAATATAACTCACGAAACTTTAACCCCCCCCCCCTCTCTTCCCCCCATTGCTAATTTTAAAATTAGTAAGGATTTTGAATGATGGAAGTATGCACATACATGTTATTTTTAATTTAATAATAATTTTTATGTCAATTATTTATTTTCGGTAGATAAAGAGACATAATATATAAACTTATATAGAGTTAGAAATTAAAGCAAATATTATTATGAGAAATATTTGCCAATATTAAATATATGCAACGGCAAAGTGAATAATTTGAGAGGCTATTAGCAAAAATTGCAGTAGATATTATGATATTTTTTTCTTTTAAAAATAAATGTATCTATTTTATACTTTTGCGAGGTAAGTGGCTTAATATTATTCAATTATTATTTTATTTATAATATTTTTGGAAAATTATATATAACTAGTATTGCCCGCGGCTCCACCCGCGTTCAGATGACGAAAAAGCAAATTCTTAGGTTTTACATATCAGTATACTCTTACAATGCAGTTTTTGTATTTTTTCTCAGAAAGGAGATATTTTCCCGCGGTAAAAAATACCCCATATGTTGACCGGATAAACAGCTATGACCATACCAAATTTAATCAAAATCCCTCCAGTAGTTTTTCTGTGATGCGGTAACAGACATACAGACAAAAATTCTAAAAACTATAGATTCGTTCTGTAGCAATAATAATGTCTATTTCAATAAGATTTTCCAAAAACTATTTTATGTACAGATTCGGCTATGTTAGAATTTTATTATATGTATAGATTTAAGCAAATTTTATGTTTGGAATGTTTCATGGAATGTAATGATGAATAATACCAATATTTGGGCTCATATTAATATAATTTAGTACCAATGTATAATATATAATATTTGTTTCTATTATTACTATAATATTTAATAATTTCTCAGTTTTATATTATAAGTTAAAAAAATATATTATTTTTAATTTTTATTCAATTAATAATTTATTTATTGATTTATTTTGCTTTATATTGCTTGTCAATTTTCGGACTTTTACGCTGGCATGGCATTTGTGATGCAAGGGATTGCAAAGTGCTCTAAGAAGTTATATTAAATAAAATATTACATAATGCGCTTTTGCCCTAAAATTTAAATCTAATTAAATCTTTATAATACATTTAGTAAATTAGTACTATATTAGTTACATAATTGCAGTAGTCTTGTAGAGCTTATATTATAATAATGAGTAGAAGTAGAATTTCTATGAGAGCTATTGTTTCTGGTGACACCAGCTGGCGCTACTGGCGAGTGAGGTCCTATCGCTGTCGTTGAAAAGTATTTGTTAGTGCAGCATGGCAAATGAATTTAATATAATAATTATAATTGTTAGCGCGTTCTTTTAGCATTTTAAGTAATTAATCATAACCAAATAAAATATTGACTTTTTCTTAACTCCTCTTTTTTAAACCAATAAGATTTATTGTGCCGTACCGTGTGTGCCAGATTTAGTCAGGAATGGTACAATCTTTATATTAGTGAAAAAGCGCGATAAAAAACTTGCAAACAGTAAACGTTCAGTATCATTTGACATTTGTAGAGACCTCACTCTACACTAGCGTCCTCTCGCGGAGAATTTAAGTGCGGTAGCTCTCATTATTTTAGAACATTCCTTAGTATATCCATGTAGTACCACAGATTCATTATTTACGGATTTAAAAAGAAGCCAAATTATCCAAACCAGGATTTTTATCTGTTTTATGTGAAGCCTTTTTTTATGTTTGACTACTAATATTGTCCTCTGCATAATACTTTAACAAGAAATTATAATATGAAAGTGTATAAATATATTCTTAGATAATGTCTGTTCGTTAAATTAATGCCCCCTTTGAAAAATGCCGCGTGCCATCATGTTGCTAAATATAAAAAAAAACGTGTTGAACCAGATCCTGTTTGATAGCTAATCAAAGAATATTGTTAGTTTTTTTTTATTATAAGCACATGTACTGTAGTAGTGCAGAATTTAGAGAAATGTTATAGCTATGTAGAAAAGAAATTTATATCTTCAATAGAAATAAATATTAAGTCATTTTCCTTATAATAAAAATCTAGGTAATTTTGTTATTTTTTTACCGATTGATTGAAAAATTAATCATTGTTTTTAGAACCATTTCCTGCTGTTCTTTAGGTGTGCGACACTATTTGAGCGAACGGACTATATTTGGCTTTTAACTATTATAAAGACAAACGTAATGATATAATATTACTAAACTTATCAGTACTAAAATAAAATCCAAAAAAAAAATCTTTGATAAGAATGAGGGCAACTGTTTATTTTTGTAATGAATAATTATAGACCTTCAGTACAAGATTTTCAATACAGTGAGAACTTAGCCAATATGGGCCATTCAAGTATTACGTAACCCCCAAGCAAAGCTGTTACTCACCCCTCCTATGCTTACGTAAACACGCCTATATTTTAATTATTTTAAATAAATAAATATTGCTGATGTACTTATCTACCTGATACCCTCCCCCTCCGCCCCTCCCTCATGTCATCAAAAATAAGCAAAGCAAAGACCCCTCCTCCCGCCCCCCTTTATATGGATTAGTGTATTTAATATTTGAATGGCCCCCTATACATTATCGCCATTGGCGGAAATTAGAGTAAGTAAAAATTTCAGTAGGTACCTACTGTACCAAACACGATTGTCAATAAAAATTACGGATCCAGACAAATGTTTTTGATTGTAGAATTAACCAAAATTTTTAATTATTTCACTTAGGCTGTGATTTTATTCCAAAATCTCCAAAAAATTAAAAATTTAAGTATAAGTATTTATTGTGATATATTTTATTTATTATGATCTGTTATTTAGTCTATAATTTTAATTTTTCAAATAAAGAGTTATAAAAATTATATGTTATTATTTCAACCTAGTTATAATTAATTAAATAATACCTGGGGTTTCTGTACTTTACGTATTTATTTTCAAAAAGCAAATGTTAGAAAGGATTTATGGAAAAATAATATTAAAGAACGTGTAATGTTTGAGAATTATTGTAATTTATAATGTCATATTATTATCGAAAAATAGAATAAAAAAATATTACGAAATAATTTTAGTCTCGCTAAGTTTCTTTTGCCAGTTTATTTCAAGAGCTTTATCTTTCCGAGCTGGCGTTAGAGTCATGATGATAAGTAAAATATTGTTATAATTTACAAACAGCACATAGGCAATATAGACATTTTTACTTTATTATATAAATATATCTAATGTTTAAGTACCTACATCTATACTAATATTATAAAGAGGTAAAGTTTGTGATCTTGTGAGTTTGTGAGTTTGTGGGTTTGTGAGTTTGTGACGTTGTAGGGGGTAATCTCTGGATCTACTGAACCGATTTTCAAAATTCTTTTACCAATAGAAAGCCACGTTCTTTCTGAGTGTCATAGGCTATATATTAACCCGAAAAATTAAATGGCTTTATCGTGATAGTCGGATTTGCAAAGTAAGTCGGAGAAAAAACGGTCGAACGAAAACGTTTCTTACGAACGCTGCCTTAACGGTGAGAGATATATGATTATGTTCTAAGGAAAAGTTGTAGAGCTTAATAATGCCTACAAAAAAGTCAGCGACAGCATATGTCTAACTTTTATATTTAAGTCACAAAAAGTAGTTTTTATATTAAAAAAATAAATTTAAATCGGTAGGTTCCATGTTTTATTGGTCATATTATCAACAATTATGAATTCTTATCAAAATAAGTAAATTTATCGTCTACAATGTTTAAAACAAAAGACTTTTTCCTTTTACTGTATATAATTTGGACAAATGGTTAAAGAGATAATACAACATATTCGTAGGTATGGACGAACCCGAATGAGCTGTTAGTCTGTTTTTCTGTTTATACGGGCTAATCTCCGAATCTATTAGACCGATTTTAGTGAAATTTTGCATGGTAGTACCTTATATTCCCGGGCAATATCTTAGATACTTTTCATCTCGGAAAATTAAAGAGTTCCTGTGGGATAGTTAAAAAACTATAACAACTTATACAGCTTAGTACACAAAAACTTCTGATTGGATTTTAATGAAACTTTA